CGCCACCATAGGTTGCGATGTCGTCACCACGGATGGGCAGCCCTGCGACCCGAGCGAAGGTAGGCAAATCAATCTCTATGTCGTAGAGATTGATGCTGCTGCGAATGGTGTCCCCGTCACGGCGGAGATTGGAATAGAAAGCCCGGACAAAGGCGGGATTGAAGCTCGAGCGGCTCTTGGAGACGAATGGCCACAAACCTGACACTTGGAGTTGGTTGTCGAGGTCGTGGTACCCTTTGTCTTGGGGAAACAACTCCGGGAGCACGCGAGGTGGAGAGATCGGGTGCTTGGAAAAGTAAGTGAGGAAGCGTGTTAGTTCTTCCTCCGACCCGAACTCAAGAAATGATCCGTCCAAATATGGGAACGGAGGAGGCGCGGAACTTGAGGGTTCGGCGGTGCTTTTCTTCTTAGAAGCCTTAGACTTTGATCTTCCTCCGGCCATGATTAAGGCGTTTTTGAAGAAAGACTGAAGAAATGTTGAGATTAGGATCAAGGAATGAAATTATGATGTTAATGGTGTATTAGAATGAGCAAATATGAGGGATATATATAGGGAAAGGGAGATTAGGCCGTTTGGATTCAAAAACATAGCTGTTGGGCAATTAATGTGGTGCCCAACGGCTCTGAATTTTTGAAACGCAGGTGCCTTCCCAGCGATGGTAGGATCTACCCATCGATGGGAAGGTCGCCACTGGAAAGCAAGGAAGGACCCAAGGCTGCCTTCCCAGCGATGTTTGCATTTTCCCATCGATGGGAAGGTGGCTTCTGAAAAAGAGAACATGGCCTTCCCAGCGATGTTAATACCATCCCATCGCTGGGTTGGTAGTTTTGAAAATCCGTTAAAGAATTTTTAAAAAAATAGTGTCAAACACCCAGCGATGGGAGGAACTTCCCATCGATGGGTTTGGAGGTTCTGAAACAAAAACAGGAACTCACCCAGCGATGGGATAAACTACCCATTGATGGGTAAAGGCGTACTGGAAATCTGTTAAAAAATTAAGTCAAACACCCAGCGATGGGAGAAAGTTCCCATCGATGGGTTGGGAGGTTCTAAAAAACATTTTTGATAAAAGTCCTTCACCCAGCGATGGGACAAAGTACCCATCGATGGGTTGGGGTGTTCTGGAAATCCGTTAAGTGTTTTTTTAAAAAAAAAAATAGAGTCAATTACCCATCGATGGGAAGAAGCACCCATCGATGGGAAGAGGGGTTCTGGAAAAAACGAAACTTCCCTCCCAGCGATGGTATGTCCTACCCATCGCTGGTTCCCCCTGATTTCCAGAGTTCTCCACTTCGAACCGTCCCTGCAAAAAAGAGTTAGAAAACCCTCCGACGCTCAAGTTAGTAAACGTTCCAGTAACAATAAAAGAATGATAAAATGCACAAATTAGATCATCGTGGAGTCAAGGATTCCGAGTTCGCTACGAATGCGGAAGAACGACTCTTTCTCTAAAGGTTTTGTGAAAATGTCGGCTAATTGGTTGTGTG